GGGAGTGAGGGAATTGTCCTAGACCAGTGTTGACCATACTTCTTTGACCCAGAATCCAAGTAAGAAGTGTATGTTACCTTGTGATCTGTTATGCTCCATGCATAGACACATGCCCATTTCACAAAATACCACTTTACTACACATGTTTTCTAGTCTGATCTGTTTGGTTCTGTTCTGTTCCATTAACACAATGCTGGTGGTGACCTGTTAGGTCGATTTCAGGACCCATTAATGTGACAGCCCACAGTTTGAAAATAATCTTTAAAATTTGGTACCTATCCTCAGGGATTCACAACCTAGTGCAGAGCCCACAGATGAAGACCCGTATGTAAGGCAGACAGACAGACAAGTGCTGTGTGCAGGTCCAAATTACTGTAGCGGGGGTGGGTGGGGATGGGGGCGGGGGACAGATTCATGAGCTGCTAGAGACATCTCGGAGAAAATGTTATCTTTAGAAGTTAGATTTAAGACTTAATTTAGTTGTTCTTATCTCTCTCTCTCTCTCTCTCTTTTTTAACCTTTCTAACTAATCAGTTCTTTCTACGATACAGGCTCTTGTCTTTTTTTCTTCCTGGGTACTGATGTGTTTTTTATTGCTAACAGGGAGATGTCTATTATTCTCCAGGTGCTTTTTAATTAAAAAACAAAACTTGGCCTCATCCGTATCTTCTTACTCAATTTATTTTTTTTTCCCCTCTACTTTTTCACGTTAGTTTTTTTCGAGCTATATATGTGTGTGTGTATGAAAGATCTTCATTCGGAGACATTTTCCTGTCTATATACACGTAGGTATATAAATGTCATCTTAAAGAATGCATATACACAAAAATGTGTCTCTGAATGAAGATCTTTCTTATTATTTAGAATTCCTTAACCCTAATTGATGCATGGCTCCCACAGTTGTCACAGTAAAAAAAAAAAAAAAATCCCTATTCTTCAGAGAGGATGCAGAAATTTCTGTAAAAGCCCTGACTCTAAATGTATTATACAGCTGTGATCAAATTTCAGCTGCCTTTCCCCTGTTAGGGACATTAGATGTAATTTTTCCTGGCCTAAGAAACTTGAGTATTTCTCTGTGTGCATATTTCCATTAAAATTTTTTTTAAGTCACCCTTTTTACTCTTCTGAACTGTTACGTGAGACCAAGGAGGATATTTGCACGAGATGCAATGCCAGACGCTTTCTGTTCCTTTCGAGCTCTACAGTCATTGGAGTAGACAGATGAGTGTCCCCATGGGTGTGTCCCAAAGATGCTTTTTTTGTTGTTTGTTTTTCTCTCTTTGGAAATTCTAAGTACGAGATATTGACATTCACGTCTGGTCTGTGAAAACCAATTAGCCATCCCACGTCTCTCTCCCAGTGAAATGCAGAACTGATCAAGGGAGGAATCATTATGACCCAAAGCCTGGGCAACTGTCTGCAGTGAATGAACGTTGCAAATATGTGCCGACCAGCTTGAAATTAAACCTGGGCTTGGTGGTCAACCCTTAAGACCCGGGTGAAAGAAAACTTCTAGCAGCTAGGCTCCTGTGAGTCAGAATTGGCTTTCTGAGCATGGGAGGAGTTACGGTAGCGAGTACATAGAACAGATGGTGCATAGAAGGCAGGTGGGGGCACGGATGGAAATAAAGGGAGCATCGTAGAAAGCAGAAGAGCTCTTCAGGGTGGGTTTGCTGAGCCCGGACCAACAGTACCTGTGAATCTGCTGGCGGCTCCTCCCACTGCCACTTGGAACTTGGTGCTGCTTTTATGAGGGTCGGCTTTGGGAAAATCAGATTTGATTTAGCAAAAGGCATTGGAGAGCCAGCTTTGCTCCCTTTATTCCGTCAGAAAGGAGACGTTCATGACGTCATCCACCGTTATTGAGTACCTCTAGGCGCCTGTTACAGGTGTTTACATCATGCCATTGCTGGCCCTCACACGCATCCCTGGCGGAGGGGGTCTTTGTTTTGCCAAGGAGGAAGCCGAGACTTTCTGGGGACCCTGATTTTCCCAGGACCACACAGGAAGCGTCTCTCTGGCTGCAGAATTCCTAGTTCTGACTGTACCTCCCCCTGCTTCTTGCACCTGGATCACTTACCTTGCAACCTCCCCCTTCCCGGCACCTGTGGGTTTTTTTTTCCGTGTAGTTGGTAAATAGTAATGTAGTGTAATAAAAAAGATACTTAGGTCAGGGTTAGGAGAAACCACATTCTTGGCTTATTGTTATTTGCCCAAGAGGGCCAGTTGTCCTTCATTTCTTTGTCATAATTTTATTCCCTGTAAGAATAGACGGCCCCACCGTGAGAGCCACAAAACAATTTTTTTTTTGTTTGATGAAAACCAAAGCAGTTAGGTTCCCAGAACAGAGATGATCTCCGTTGCAGAAATGTTTGGGTTGCACGAGGGTCCTGGCCTCCCCAGGTTGCTGGTTAGGGGCCTTGCAGGGTTCACTGCACGGGGCTCCACAGGGAGCCTTTGGTGGAATCAGGCCAGGACCCCCCCATCTGCCCAGGACTTACTAGCTTTTGGTTTGCTTCACGTCATCCAAATTTGGTAGTTACCGGTCTGCCCCTCCCTCTTCTAGAAAGTGTGCTTTGCATCTCTTTTCCAACCTGGCAGCTCATTTGGTGGCCTGCCTGCTTTACCGGGAAAGTCTCATCCATGCCCCTAAACTGTTCCGGGTTTGAAAATGTACACATGGAAGGAAAGGCCACTTAAGGACGTTGGATTTTTCAAAGTTGACATTTTTCATGTCTTTAGACCTCCAGATGGTGAAACTGGAACGTTGGTGTTCAGCTTAGGCTGGTCGGCCTGACTGGGACCCGTGTTTGGGCTCAGGCCTGCGCCCTGGGCGTGGAGGGTGGGGTGACCAGAGGCTCCAGCCCCCCTTCTCTTCTTGGCTTTGAGCAATTCTCTGTTCATAAGGCACCAGAAAGAGTTAATTCCAGATCCACTGCTCACTGATGTTGTGATAGTAAAGAATTCTAATGGGTTCTGCGAATAAGTTTGTGAGTAAACTACTTGGTGAACTCATGACTGAAATACAAATTTTTAAAAGCCTCTTTAAAGATTTTAGGAACAGGGGCGCCTGGGTGGCTCAGTCGGTTGGGCGTCCGACTTCGGCTCAGGTCATGACCTCACGGTTCATGCGTTCAAGCCCCGTGTCGGGTTCTGTGCTGACAGCTCGGAGCCTGGAGCCTGCTTCGGCTTCCGTGTCTCCCTCTCTTTCCCTGTCCCTTCCCTGCTCATGCTCTTTCTCTCTCTGTCTCAAAAATAAATTAAAAAAAAAAACAAAAAAAAAAACATTAGGAAAAAGAAAGGTTTTAGGAATAACTTAATTTTTGTTTTCCTTGTAAGGGATTTTCTTGGAGTTTTTCCCCTCTCTAATAGTTAAACAGTTTTATTGTTTGCTTTCTGAATGTTCCTGTAGTACAATAGTTCTGAAAATCAGAGAGTCAGTCCCTTGGCTGCAAGCATGGGGTGGGCGCGGGTTTATGTAATTTGACTTCTTTTCTCTCCAAATCAGTAAATATTTACAAACGACCTTATCAAACCGCTTGGGTACATTCGGTCACTTTTGAAAGCATACAGTTGGAGTAGCGACTGCCTGTCGGCACAGTGCCAGTTCAGTGGGCCTCTCAGGAAGGACTTAACTTTTCTTTTTTAATAAAAATGCTGCCCACAGACCAAAAGTGGGCCTCAGAGCAAGTCTTTCCATAGAACCACTTTTAGAAAATTTGCATTCTAAAGTTGGACTTCTAAAGATTCGACTCCTTTAGGTCTATGAACTGCGGCATCCAGAAAATAACTACTGGCTTCTGGCTTAGGTTTAACCGCTGCTGCCTGAGTTCTTTTGTTTCTTGGGGAAGGTAATTACAGAATTCCATTGGAAGCTTAAATGTCATTCTTTTGTAAGTAGGAAAAAAAACAAGTCGATTCCTTTTCTGTTGTTTTGTGAAGTGGTACCGAAATAATATGGCTCGAAAACATAACCCTCGCATTTTTTTTTTACAGCGGAGATGGGAGTTTTGAGGTACCCAGCCCTCTTTTGCTTTCCACATTTGAAATCTGACAAATCTAAAACTCATTTTCTAGAAGAGAATACATACGTCCTTCAGAGTTGACACTGAGATATAATAAAGGAGTCTGAGTTTGGGGGCCGGCAGGGTAGAAAATTACAATATTATTGTATCAGCATCACCTGGTAATAACATGTTCATCTCGTCTGTCCGACTTAATCCAGGTAAGGCTGAAGTGCGTTTTATGGTGCTGCATTGTCAGGGTACGATATTCCGTATTTCTGGCTAGCAAACGCCAAAAAAATAAGCGAGAGGCTCTTAAAAATAAGTAACTGGGGTAATTGCGATTCATCTACTTGCTGCCGAATCCTGGGTGTTTCTTCTATTAATCATTTTTATGTTTTCATTTTCTTTGCAGAGCATTGGGAAAGGGTCATTGTGGTGCATAGACCCAGAGTATAGACAAAATCTAATTCAGGCTTTGAAAAAGACACCTTACCACCCATACTCACACGTGTTCAATACACCCCCTGCCTCTCCTCAGGCGTATCAAAGGTAAGCAATTCAGAGGGTTTTTTTTTTTGTTTTTTGTTTTTTTGGTTTTTTGGTTTTTTTGGTTTACTGAAGTTGCATTATTTTGGCCGAGACAGGCACTGAACCTAATTCAATAGACTGTACAATATGAAAAATAACCGTAGATAAAGGAGAAAGGAATAAAGTTATTACTGGAGGCATACCCATTGTTGTATTTCCTGCAAACCTTCCCGCTTCTGCTGCTTCGGAGGAATGCGCTCAGAAGGCTTCTTGGTAGGTGACATACTGTCTTCCTGGGTAGAAACATTTACAAAGAAAAGTTGACAGCTTTAACATCTCGGGGTATCACAATCTGTTGGGATAGAAGTACGGGAACGAGCCAGGCAAGCGATTCCGTCTTCCCAGCATCCGACCGAAAGCGTCTACAGGTATTCACTGAAGGACTCGTTGATTGTTGTCATTCCTGGTCTCCATGTAGACGGTGCTCCAGAGGGATCATTTTGTTGTGGTTACTTGGTGTTTGCCTCTTCAAGGAGAATCGCAGAGAACAATGGAGACTTTTGTTCCCCCTGCCATGCCCATTTGTTTTGAGACAGTGAGGTCATGGGTGCCATTTTTACACAAATGTAATTGGAAGGGAGGATAGGAAGCTTGTCACTTAAAAAAAAGGGGGGGGTGTTAATGTCAGATTCCAAAACAATAGCCACATAACAGATACAAATTTTACCATAGATTTGCTGTCACGTAGTGCTTGGGTTGGAAATACATCCCTCACTCCTGCCAAAAAATTTTTTTCCTTTCACGTAAAGAAGTGCTTCTGCTGTAACCACCCGGTTGAGAGAAATTATCCTTGGACTACAAGTTTATGTCAATGAGGGATGGCGTGGGTTCGTAGATTTCAGCAGTTTTATAGTCCACTTGTTTGGCAGATTCTCTCCCTAGTCTGGTGTTTGCTGTGCAGAGGAGAGCACAAAGTGATCCTCTGAAACCGCATTAATGAAGTTCTTGTGCATCTTAGTTGAGAAGCATTCCATCACAGGCCCCAGACAATCAGTCTTCAGCAAGAGACGCGGAGGAACAGCTGGGCTCTCCGAGAAGACTGCTGTATGTCTGCCTTTGCTAGGCGATTAGCGTGATGGTAGCCATAGCAACTGGAGCATCTCCATAGTAACGCGTAGCCGAGACAGGTGCAGTTGCATCACAAGGCTGTTTGTTGCCTGGCAAAAGGACAGGCCATTAGTACTTAGATATACGCTGTTGCCTTAGGAACAAATAACCCTACATAGCAACTACAGTTGGTTTGAAAGATTTGGTAGGGGGGAAGAAAAGGTTGTAGCGGCTTTTGTCCGTGTTCATAAAAATCAGTGCAAGCATACTTTATTGGAAATGACAACTTGAGGTCATATAGCTGTAGGAGATAAAATGGGATTTTCCGAAGCAACCCAGCCAACATTGTAGAAATGTCCAGAAGGACAGAGCCATATGTTTGGTTTTTTTCCTCGTGGCTGTAGCTACTCCTGAAATGGAAGGGAACCGGGATCGGAGAATTTGCTGATATCTGAGGTTGGCGGGGGACGCGACGATACTTTCTGGAATTTCCCTTAGATTCTCACGTTCCTTTGTCATTCTCCTCCTCCTCCCTCCCACCCTCCTGACCCCACAGAGCACCCTTGACTCTCCTCCCCAGTGTGTATCTGGGAAGTATTTCATATCCTTTTGTTCCTGGGAAGTTAAGAACATAAGTGTTACTCACTGGGTCATATCACTGGTTCATTTAGACAGTATTTTGTTGCCAAATGTGACCCCAAGGGAAACGCAGTAATTATTTAATAATTTGAAGGATTATGGTAGAGCCGTAGGGACTGCATACTCAGGCAGAGGCTTTCTGAGCTGGCCTAAGCTTAATGACTTCATTTGATTTTTTTAATATAGGCATAACAATGCGGACAAACCAGAGCTTTTGTAATGAAAATACTTTCCGATCGAATACTCCAGATCCTGTTCTGTCACCTCCGGTTCCTTTTCTCCCAGGTGACTGAAGTTAAAGTTTCTGCATCCACCCATGCGGGCACTCAGATGTCACCTCCATAAAGGTCACTGGAGGTGGAGTGAGATGGTGAATCAGATTCTATCTAGACTGCCTCGTCCGTGTCTTAAGTCTGAGGACAAGCCACTTGCCCTTCATCTCACGGCTTAGGTTTTGCTCCCATCTCCTCTAGTGTGTGAATTTGTACTAAACATCCTCAGTACTGGATGACTGTACAATGTTTGTATAGCTTACACCGAAGGGGTATTCAGTTCAATCCTAAGCCATTGGGCCACTTGTTGATGTGACTTAGGGAAGATGGAAGGGGGACAAAGCACGTCATTAAACAGGGACCAGAAATGCCAGCGTGACTTTATCTGGCAGGTCTGCTGTGATGCGGGGAATCCCTTGCCAGCCCCTCGCAGAACTGCAGTGTGGGGCACCTGGGAAGTGCTTGGCTCTCACGGAGCTGGTACTTAGCACGCTGAAGATGGTGATTAGACCGGATGGGTGGTTATTGCTAGCATTTGCACGTGTGCTTGGCACGGCAGCAACTCGAAACCGAGCTGCAGGTGGCTGAAGACTGCCGGGGAGAAAAGCTATCTGAAAAGACTGCCCCATACCATCATTCATGGCCAAATACGAGAGATAATCAATATTGTAGCTCGTAGACTCAGGCCTCTGTTTTCCAGGATACCCTTTTGGATGTGTGTTAGGCTGGTCCTCTGTACCTGCTTCTTTGGATGCCACAATCGTAGACTGTTTTTGATTGAAATGCAGAGCTCGGTGACATCGGCCCTCCTGTTAGTCTGCTGGGGCTGCTGGGGCAAAGAATCGAGTGACTTAAACAACAGAATTGCATGTTCTCCTAGTTCTGGAGGCTGGAAGTCAGAGATCAAGGTGTCATCAGGGTTGGGGCGCCTGCGTGGCTCAGTTCGGTGAAGCGTCCGTCCAACTCTTGGTTTTGGCTCAGGTCGCGATCTCACGGTCTGTGGGGATCGAGCCCCGTGTCGTGCTCTGTGCTGTCAGCCCAGGGGATTCTCTCTCTTCCCCTCTCTCTCTACCCCACCTCTGCTCGTGCTCACTCTCTTTCTCTCAAAAGTAAATGAATGAACATTGAAAAAATTAAAAAGATGTCAGCAGGGTTAATTCCTTGTGAGGCTGTGAGAGAGAATCTGTTCCAAGCATCTTTCCTGGCATCTGGTGGTGCTGGCTGGCCTTCTTTGGCCTTCCTTGGGTTATAGAAGCATCACTTTGATCTCTGCCTTTATTTCATGTGGTGTTCTCCTGGTGTGCTGTGTCCAGATACCCCCTACCCCCTTTTTAAAGTTATTTATTTATTTTGAGAGAGAGAGAGAGAGAGAGAGAGAGAGAGCGAGCGCGAGTGAGCAAGTGAGCACGAGCAGGGGAGGGGCAGAGAGAGGGAGAGAGAGACTCCCAAGCAGGCTCCACACTGTCAGTGCAGAGCCTGATGCGGGGCTCGAACTCCTAAACCGTGAGATCATGACCTGAGCCAAAATCAAGAGTCAGATGCTTAACCAACTGAGCCACCCAGGTGCCCCCAAATTTCCCCTTTGCATAAGGACACGAGTCATATTGGTGGAGTGACCTACCCTACTTTAGTATGATCTCATTTTAACTAATTAGACCCCCAATGACTCTGTTCCCCCCAAAAGGTCACATTCTGAGATACTGGTGGCCAGGACTTTAACATGAATTTTGGTGGGAGGGGACACAGTCTCACCCATAACAGCTCTTTTCCTTGTAAGTCATTTTTGCTGGTAAGAATATGGAGAAAAGTAAAGAGGTAGTGAAAAGACAAAACGATGGGGCACGTCAAAGGGACAAAGGAGACAATCTGAAATAGGTCCTAGTGGCCAAAACAGGGACAATATGAGCAACAAAATAACAGTGTTGGGTTATAACCCAGGATATAAACTAAATATCTGTGAGTCCACACTGATACAAATAAATGATGGAAGAAGTAAATGGGTATCGAGACAAGTCTCCTGTACGAAAGAATTCCAGACGATTTAGGTAGAGCCTCCTCTGCTCCCGGAGTTGGCACTTATTAACTCCTCACCCCGAGTGGCTGCATTTAATGACTTCCTTCCACAGAGTGAGTATGGAAGGAAGCAGAAGAGCAAGTTTATAGCCGGAAGACCTGGCACCCAGCACCTTGGCCTAGTGGTCTCAGCTAACGTCCATGATAAGAAGTTGATATCACGCATCTTTGATAACGATGTCGTGGAATTGACGGTTCACCTTGGTGGTCCCCCACCAATCCATAACCCCTGCTTAATCATGGGAAAAACATCAGACAGTAGTCTTGTCCCCAAGGTGGCAGGGTTGGGGGAAGGTGGGCACTCTACAAAATACCCGTCCAGCACTCTCTAAAGCTATCAAGGTCATCAAGAGCAAGGAAAGTCTGGGGGTGCCTGGGTGGCTCAGTCGGTTGAACATCTGACTTGGGCTCCAGTGCTGACAGCTCAAAACCTGGAGCCTGCTTCAGATTCTGTGTCTCCCTCTCCCTCTCTGTCTCTCTCTGCCCCTCCCCCGCTCGTCCTCTGTCTCTTTCTCTCTCAAAAATAAACGTAAAAATTTTAAAAAGAAAGAAAGAAAGAAATGCAAGGAAAGTCTAGAAAACTGTCACAGACCCGAGGAGGCTGAATGGGTGATATGCTATCCTGGATGAGTTCCTGGAGCCCAAAGGACATTAGGGAGAAACTAGTGACATGTGAATAAATGGTAGAGTTTAGTGGATGGTAATGTACCAGCGTTGGCTCCTTAGTTGTGGCAAACGCACCCTAATATGTAAGCTTTTAACTTTGGGGGAACTGAGTGAAGGACGCAGGGGAGCCCTGTGCTGTCTTTGTAACTCTGCCGTTGAAGAAAAAGCGTTCCCCAACACACACACACACACACACACACACACACAGTAGTTGAGTTTACCAATTTTAAATATCCCCGTCATTCTTGGTGTAGTGAAAAGTCA